GAAAATGAGGATAAGGCAGGGATGATGGGGTGGACTTCTCCTGGTTTCTCTAAATTCACAGTCGTCTGAAATTAACTGGAAAGAAATTGGACAAAATTAAAGGACCAGGTCACACATACATCTGAAGTATTTCTGACAAATTTGCGTATTCTTTGAATTTTTGTAAATTGAATCCTAGCTTTTATGCAGTAGGTTACATTGCTATGTCAAAATTGTGATTCACTTGCAAATTGAGTAAGCTTTTATTTTATCCTCAGCTAGGGCTACCTTGAATTCCAAGCATTTATAATCTACATGAATTCTCTGATATTTCCAGCTTATTTGTAGCAATACACTTTCTGTTTAAACTATTTTAGTTGGGTTTTTGCTGCTTGATATTAAAGTTCTAATATCACTATAATGTACAATGCTTGCTGTAGATTTCTAATAGATATTTAAAAAATAAGTAGAACAGTGATACTTCCTTTTATTCCAGATACATATTGCTATTTTAGTCAGGAACAGGACAGAATTTAATCAAGTGCCTTTGTAGCATTTATTAAAATTAAATGAGTTAATATATTTAAGGATTTAGAACAGTGTCTGGACACATAGCTATTATTGTATGAGAGTAAGCTGTTTTTTTCTTCTTTCAATCTTATAGTGTGGTAAATTACACTCATTAATAGACTAATTTTGTTGTTTATTTAACTTTTTTGCTTTTGGTGGTACTGAGGTTTGATCCCAGGACCTTGTGCTTGCTAGGCAGGTACTCTACCACATGAGCCACACTTCCAGCTCTCATTTACATGAATCTCTCATTTTGACCAACTTGGGTTCTAAAATTTCTTTTGGAGGACAACCATTTATATTTTCTCAGAATTCCAGCCATATTTTGTAGAACACATTTTTCTTGTAATTTTTCACATAGTCTCTATTATTTACTTGCTTCCCCCTTTTTTTCTTTCTTTACTTTTCTTCTTTCTTCCCCCCACTCCCCACCCCCTCTGGCAGGACTGGGGTTTGAACTTAGGTCTTTGCTCTTGCAAAGCAGGTACTCTACTGCTTAAGCTTAAGCCACACCTCCAGTTCATTTTGCTCTGGTTGTTTTGGAGATAGGGTCTCACAAACTATTTACTCAGGGTGGCCTCAAATCAAAATCCTCTTGATCTCAGCCTCCCAAGTAGCAAGGATTACAGGCTACTTGCTTTCTCTTTTTACTCTCAGTCTTACTTACTTACCCAATGCTTTTTTTATTTTATTTATCTTTTCAGGGGGCAGCTTTTGGTTTGTTTACTGGTCAAACCTATTTTTAAATTGACTTATTAATTTATCATTTTAAAAGATAGATTAATTCCTGATAGAATTTTTGTATTTTTTTTCCTGGTTTATGATATGCAGTGGTCTCATTTTGTTTGATTTACTTTTTGTTCTTCAATACAAGAGCAATTTTTGCCAAAGTACAAAGTTTGATCCTCTAGACAGGGGATGAGAGAAGAAATGTCATTTCCTAATGGAGGAGTAAAATTACCACTACCAGAACCCACTGCTCAAACTCAGCATCTATAAAAAAGGGTCAATTTGACATGATGGGCTTTTAGAAAAGATCCAATGTGTAATCTGAAGCACTACTTAGAGTCACTCCTAATAACACCATTAAACTTGGACCTCATCAAGACCTTAATAATTACTAATATTGTGGAAGGAAAAAAGTTAAATGGTAAACAAATTCTGTTGTGAATCATTTTAGGGGACAACTGACATGATCTATTCAACAAGTTATTTCTAGGAAAGAAAAAGAAGAAGAAAATCTGGGTGTGCTGATGCAGCTCTTTCCTGTAATCCCAGCTATGAGGGAGGTGTAAGTGAGAGGATTGAGGTACAGTGCCATCACTGGGCATAAAGGGGAAGGCTCTATCTAAAAGGTAATTAAAAAGCAAAAAGGGCTGGGGGCATGCTCAAGTGGTAGAGTGCTTACTTGGTGAGCATAAGAGCCTGTGTTCGAACCCCAGTATCATCACCACCAACACAAAGAAAAAAGAAGGCAGGTTAGGCTAGGGAAATTAATTAAATTCAGGATTGTAAGATACTTAAGCAACAGATCAACCAAATGCTATATGTAGTCCTGATTTGTAAAAGGAAATTTGGGGAGTATAGAAAAATTTAAAGTAGATTTTTTCTATTTCTTCATTGATTAATAAAAATTGCATGTGTTTATAAGGTAAAATGTGATGCTTTGATACTTCATTGTGGTATGATTATATCAAGCTAATTGACATGTCTATCACCTTACATGCTTACGATTTTTGTGTGTGAAGGACATTTAAAACCTTATTGTTGACAATGGTTACTATGTTATCCAAGGGTTCTTAAAAATATCTCCATGTCTAACTGAAATTTTGTAGGTTTTGGTCAACATCTCAGCATCTCCCATCTCCCTACCCCAAGAGTAATTTGAATATGGACTAGTTATTAAACGACATAAAGAAATTGTTATGACCTTGTTAGGTGTGATAAGGAAATTGCAATTATGTAAAAAAATCACTATTTAGAGATGTGTACTGAAATATTTAGCAGCAACTAGTCTTGATAGCTGGGTTTCATTGTAAAATATAGGAATAATGCAAAAATGTGAACAAAATTTAGAAAATCAGCAAGATCTGTCATAATGTTCTCTCTACTTTTATGTGTACCTGCAACTTTTCAAAATAAAAATTTGAGAAAGAAATATCTATGTATCTACCTTTCTGTCCCTCAAAGCCAAAACATTATCATGCATTACATCTTTTGCATGGCACCCCAATAATTTCAGAACTATAATTAATTGACCCATTTTTACAGATGCTGATAATCGTAATCTGATTCCTCCATTGCAAAATTATTACTAGTATTATTTTAATAATATCATCTAGAGGATGAAACTGTATTTTGGCAAAATTGCTCTTACACTGAGGAACAAACAGCAAGCCAATTACAATTGATGATTATTTGATCATAACTGTGTTAACTTTGCTCTGGCTGTCCACGAACCTCAATTCTCTATCCCTACCTCCTGAATAGTTGGCATGTGCCACCATGCTTGGCTTACCCACAGCTCTTCTGTCTATTGAAGCCTAGTAGGGAGAACTTCAGAATTTACCAAAAGGGACACGCACATGCTCTTAACTGCTGAGTGAAGTTCTTTCACCATTGTTATCCTTGTATCTAAATGTGTTCATCTTTTAGATTCTTTAGGCTCTATTAAAGTTCTTCTTATTTTCAAATATGTCATGGATGCCCTTCGGCCAGTTTAGGAAGAATTCTAGTATCCATCTATTGGACAAATGTTTTGACACAGTGTTTTCTGTAACAGTCCTGTTCTGGGCATGTAATCAAAGAAATAAAAGATGTCATGGATATCCACGGAATTAATGGTCTCACAAGGTTGCTTATGTCAATACACTTTATAAGGCTTTCTTTTTGTTTCTTTCCAATTCCCTCTCACTAGTAAGTCAGATTTTCTCAGGCTCTTCTCTGCTTTCCTAAAAGGAAGACAAGTTCATCCCAGAATTCATTTTTTTTCCGTAGGCTATAGTGACTACTTCTCCAATTTGGATAGAAGGCTTTGTCCTTGGCAGAAGACCCAGGTAGAGGAGTCCCTAGACTAAAGAAATGAATCTCAAATGGCAGAATAAAAAGATAAACATCATTGTGAAGCCTGTGAAGTATCTTGGAGTAAAATAGAGGCAACACTAAGGTCTCTGTGGCACAACAGACAGGAATCATATTGGCTACAGATCCCATGACTGTGAGCCTAGAGGCAAACACCCCTTATTTCCAAGTGACCTGTGGTGATGTCTTAGAAACCATGGCTAATCATACATGTCTACCCTAAGTCCAAGAATAGGAAAACAAAGTCTATAGCTAGAGCTTTTGAAACACAACAGATAGGTCTTTCTAAAATCAAAACTGTAAAGAAGGGTAGGAGGATAATGTAATTCAATTTGTTGTCTTAATTTTTTTGGCAGTACTAGGGTTTGAACTCACAGCTTTGTGCTTGCAAGGCAGGCACTCTGCTGCTTGAACCATGGCTCCAGTCCTTTTGCTCTGGTTATTTTGGAAATAGGATCTTGCTTTTAGTCCAGGCTGGCCTGGGCTGTGATCTATTTTATGTTTCCCACTATTACTAGAATGACAGGTGTACACCACCATACCCATCTTTTTACCCTTTGAAATGGGATCTCACAAACTCCTCTAGAGACCTCCTAGTGTGATAAGGAAAGTGTAATATACAAACAACTTAGCCTGCCATCATTTTTCCAAAATGTCTAATGAACAATGAAATAAAAATAAGCCCTCATTGCTTTTTTTAATTAAAAAAAATCCTAAAACTTTGTCTAGAAAAAAAATCATCCTGAAGTTGGATGACATCATGGTTTGGCAGTTTATACAAGACTGGAGCGCTCAGAGCTTGCAAATTATTCTTTCTCATGATTTCCTCTTTTGCTCCAGCACCATCCCCTGAACCATTTAAGAAAAACCTGTGAAAAGATGTGGAGTTAGCTCAAAGGCATCTGGATATAGTGGGAAGAGTGGAAACTGGAGTGAGACAGATTTGGATTATAATATTGGTGCTAACACGTATAGAATTGCTTTAGAATTTTCACAGTTCCCTAGGCGCATTGTATTCAAAACAAATGGATTATGTATGTGAAAACATGGGAAGTTTAGACAGAGGTAACTTTTCTTCCTAAAAAGGACTGAGTTTTTATTGACAACTCGGAAGTGTCTATGGGCAGATTGAAGACCTGCTATCCAGACTGTGCATCTGAGTGTATTAATAATTTAAGGAATTGTTACATTTTGTTTAAATGCACACACAGGCACACACTCATGGCATGACCTCTTAGTCATGTCCTTATCTGGGTTTATCTCAGATCACGTGGAACGAAAAGCATAAACACTTGTTGAGGTTACAGCACCATGACTCTAAATACCTTTGCCCAGTGGATGAAACTTAAAACAAAGGACAAGAGCCAGAATACTTTTTGTGATAACTTTTTTTTCTTCTCTTTAGAAAAAAAATATGTACAAAAAAAGCTAAGAAGGGCCAACATGGAAGTGTAAGAAAACATTCTGATAGGTAAAGACAAGGAGCTCCTTTTCTTCAAGGAGGTGTTACACATTAGTCATCACCATGCTAGAAAAATGGAATGCAGTTAAGATCCTAGAGCAGTTAAAAGCCAGAGTGAAGCTGTTGCTCTGGAACTCTGTGTTGTAGATGCTCTGATACCCTTTCTGTAAAATAATACTGTGCAAACTGTAAAATATCATTTTCATATAAAGTTCATACAATATGATATACAAAACTGTTGAGTTGACAGGGAAGGCTGCTGCTGGCTGATTTTTGGAAAGAAGGCTACAGTGTCACCTGCCTGCCCAAGAACGTAATTCCATACAGATCTTCAGTTTCTTAGGTGGGCAAGGCCATTATCTATGAAAGAGTCATACAACCTAAACACCCCCCATATCTAGGATTTTCTGCCAATTGTATAATTAGGCAACTTCACCAATATATCACTTAAACTTAATACAATAAACTGGTAACAGATCAGAACACAAAGTTCTCTTTGAATGTTTTTTTCCACAATTGATTTTGAGATTTACCATTAACCAACATTGTCCTTCCTGCAACTCAAAAATTTAACTTTCATTAAAATTCAGAAATTCTGGAGGAGGCAGCAACTGTGGTAATAAAAGTTTAAAGTAAATTGTTACATTAACTGTATTTGTGTCTATAAAATTGAGAAAAGAAGATTTGTGTACAAATATCACAAAATAACATCAACCATTGAATAAATGTGATTTTTCAATGCACACTTGAACAAGAAGAAAATTTTGTTGGTTTTAAAATTCTGGCATAAATATATTAAAGCTGACAAAAAAAAAAAACTAATCAGGGCAAGCTACATCACTTCTCCATACAAAAAAAAAAATGTACAAAACATTAGCCTCTAACTAGATAAACATGATACTTGTCTTCACAGTTGGACATTGAATAACTGTGTATTTTGAAGTATTGAATTAGAAGGTGGTAAAAACAGCTATGTCACATCATATCTCAGGTGACTTCGGTCATGGAAGCTGAGTGATTCTGTAGAACAAAACAAGCAGATAAAATCTCAGAGACAGGTTCATTGACTTCTGCATGCACGCATTCCCTCACCCATGAAAATGCTGTTCTTTCTTGTCTCCTTCCCTCCCCTCACCAATATGCTCTTCCAAGGCCCCTCAAATTTCATTACCTCTTCCTTTAAATTTTCCAGGATTTTTCAACTAAAGTGGGATCATTTCTTTATCTAAAATTTTCTCTGCATAATTACAATACTCAACTCTTTTCTATTTGTAAGCATTTTAGCATTCTATTAAAGCATTCAAAGCAACTTTGCCTGCATCTGACACTTTAAAGATGGTTTTAATATTGAACAGTGCCAATTTAAAATTTTCCATATGGCTCATCCTTGGAGTGATGAGCTCTATAGAAGTGAGTTTAGTATTTCCAGTGGCTTGGGATTTTTGGTTTGATTTTAGTTATCTTTTAATTTTTTTTTTCCTAGAGACTGTGGTCTGCATGATACAGAGTCATTAAAATTTCTTAAGAATTGCTACATGGTCTTGTACATGACTTTTTTTTTTTAATTTTCACGTGTTTTTCAGAGGTTTATGTATAATGTGCAGTTGATCAATCTTATTCACCATCTACACTCTTACAGTATTTTGTTTGTTTATTAATTAGTGAGAGCAGTGTGTTAAAATCTTTGATTGCAGATGTGTATATTTTTCCTTGTAATTTTGCCAATCTTCTGTTTATATAACTTGTAAATTTGACTCCTCCCTGCCCCCCCACCACACCAAAGCCTTGTCTTTTCTTTAAACTTAAAACCATAAGCTCTGGTCCTTGAAATTAGCAAATACTTTAAAAATCTCTTGCTTTCATTTGATTATTAGGGGGCTTCCTGAGATTCTTGCTTGTCTTGAGGACACTGGGGGATTTATATTATAACTCAGCTATACATTTTAGAAGCTGAGTAGCTTGTATTTTTCAAGCCACTTTTTGTCTACTGTCTTTGTAAAAACACAGATGAATCTCTTGCCATAAGATAAGAAGTAACTTTCCCTTTTATACTTTCATAATATGCTTTCTAACACCACAAATTCTGAATCAGGTATCTATCAGAATCCTCTGGGAATATTTTCTTAATTGTTCACACCACACTTCCTGAGTAAGAATCTTCTGGGTAGAGGGTCCAGGCATCTGTGGACTTGACACTGATCAGATTCTTCTCTTTTTATGTTAAAGAAAAAGTATATAGCTGGGCATGGCAATACACACCTATTATTCCAGTATTCAAGAAACTGAGGCAGGAGAATTGAAGGTTTGAGGCTTGCCTGGGCTACAGAGTGAGACCCTATCTCAAAACCAAAAAAAAAAAGAAGAAGAAAGATTAAAAAAAACCCAACCTCTCTTCTTTTCCTTCAAGCAGAAGGCATAGTGAGAGTATACCACTTTAGAGAGAGTTAAAATAATTGCTTCATTTCTAATTTAATTTCTTTGTTCAGGTGAATGTGGACATTTAGGTACAGAACACGGACAGCTGAAAGCTGTTCTCTTTGAGATCATAAGATCATAAATAATTCTATAAGATCATCAAATAATGATTTGGAAACTTGACCCTTTTTGTTGTCTGAATTTTCTGTGTTATTTACTTCTTGATTTCTCATTAGTACAGGGAAAGATTTTAGAAAATGTCTCAATCAACTAGACTGAGGGGAATCACAGAAAGCAAATGTGAGTTAAGGCGTAGGGAGGAAGAGAACCCTGCAGCGTTTGGGGCTCCAGAGGGCAAAGGAGAAGAACATTCCAGGCCCTCCCTGTCCAGAAGCTTCTTCTTATGATTTGAAGGGGGGTGGATTTCAGGTGTATGAACTTCTCTCAAGTCCCTGAAGTTCTTTTTTTCTGGATGATGATTCTATTCCAAAAATTACAAAGAAGTGATTTCTACTAGAAACCATAGTGATTGGGGTTGCATAGGAAGCTCTTAAAAAGAGTGGGAAACACAGAAGATACTTTTTTTTGGAAATGTATCAGCCCTCATAGCACATTTCCATATTCAAGTCTGAAAGTTGAAGTTTTCACAAAGGGATGTGGCTTGATGAAATCTCAGGCTGTGTGGTATAAGTAGGAAAAGCAGGGCCTTTAGAATGAGATGAGTCTGCGTTTAATTTTGATTGAGGGTCCTTGGGCATCTTACTTAAACTGTTTTTATCTTTCTTCCCTAATCTATAAAATAGGATAATACCAATTTCAGGATCATTGTTATTGATGGCTCTCAGTAACTGCTAGTTCTCTTTTCAAGTGGAATCTTTTGATACTAAGAGCAAATGCTTGGCTACTTGAATCTTCCACCATTGGTATGGATTACATCAGGTGAGAAGCAATCCTTCCTATCAGCTTCTCATGGGTTCATTATGACATGCTTGCAGAAGTCATGCTTATCATTTGTCTTAAGTCTCTATTTGCCATGGAAGCTCAGACTATGGTCTGATTTGAGGTTGTTGGCTTTTAACTAAAGTATCTAGTTCAGGTTTTAGTTCTGGCTTGCTTACTAATTCACAGCTAGTAAAGATCAGGAAATATGGAAACTAAGATAAGGTTCATAAAGCCCAGACCCTCAAAGATCTCAAAGTCCTTCTGGAGGTAAATGCAATGATATACTATTGACTTTATTTGTGAGGGCCAATCATAGGAGGGGCCATGAAGATCCTTTGGCCTAATGTAGATAAGTGACATACATAGCCACAAAGATACATTAACAAATGAAAGAAGCTCAACTACAACCTATAGCAGATGATGAATTTATGCATATTATTTCTCCTATTAAAATAAGAAAATACTCAATGATATTTTTTCTGGCTTGAGAATAGCAGTTTTTGAAACTGTCTGTACCTCATTCTTCAACGTAAATGAACTCATACTCTTCCCAGCTTTCCCACTTCCTAGCTAAGTGGCCTTGGGCAAGTAATTTAACATTGCTGAACTTCAAGATTTTTATTTTAAGTTGTGAAATGGGAATTATAGCATCTATTCAATAGATTGGTTGCTTAAATAAAAATATATTTATAAAGCACCTAGAAGTTCTCCTAGTCCAAATTAAGTGGTTAATACCATCTTTGTAAGTTCCTTTCAGATGGTAAGTCTTTTCATGGCTTTCCTTGTCTTCTCATAGTAGATTTTTTTTCTCAATTTGTATTCATACACAACTTAGGGCATCTGATTTATATGTATCTTTCCCGATCATGTAAGTTCTTTGAGCACAAGAACTATGTATCTATTTTTTGTATCTTGGACATGAAGTAAGGTCCTGTTGTAGAATAACTAGTCAAAAAGTATTATTACATTGAGTTTTTTATATCTGTCATCAAAACAGTTCCAAAAGTACTTTTAGTAGTAGCCTTTTTAATATACCTCCAGGTTACATCACTTGGACATCACAGAACCTTTTTCTTTCCAAATTCAGTTGGCCCTCTGTATCCATGAGTTCGTATCCACAGATTCAACCAATAGCAGGTCAAAAAATATTCAGAAAAAAGAATATGTACAGAAATGGAATATTCAGAAAAATAAACATGTATGGAACATTTTCCCATGTCATGATTCCCTGAAAAATACAGTATAACAATGATTGACATTGTGTCAGGTATTATAAGTAATCCAAAATAATTTAAAGTATATGGGAGTTTCTGCATAGGTTATATGCAATTACTAGACCATTTTATATAAGGGACTTAAGTAACCTTAGATTTTGATATCCTCTGGAGGATCTGGAAGTAATCCCCTATAGATACCAAAGGACAAATGACTCTTACAAGGGACAACTAGTTACTCAATCAAATTGGCCTCCCATATGGTTAATGAATATGCTAATACATTGGAGTATAAAGCAGCCTGAGTTTAAGTTAAACAGTACTAAGAACTTCTTGAGGATTTGAGATTATCAACCTCCCAAATGAATTCAAGACAAGTTGAGGGAAGCTGTGAAGATTCTTTTCTTGAGAGGTTTTATAATGAATGAATCAGGTTCTTACTGACAACTGGCTGGATTCAATGGTATCCTGTGTTCAGTGGGAAAATGGATTGGTTGATTTCCCAAGGTCATGGGTTTATTTTGCTTTATTAAAACAACTTTACTATACCTGTGCACTTAGGGTTTCCAGAGGGCTCTCTATCCTTGGGAAAGCCATTAGGGGTACTCCACGGGGATCCTCGGGCTTGGGTTTGGAAGGAGATCCATGTGTTCCTTTAAAGTTATGAACCACACACATGCCCTGCAGGATGAGGGGAAGGAAAAAAGATTGGAATCAGACTAAAGTCATCAATGCCTGGCCATCTCTGAGGGTGGCAGTCCTTTTTCTTTGCAGATCATTATCACGGTGACGTACCCCCTTTGAATGAGGGTTAGAGAACAGGGGACAAATTAAGGTGTCTGCTGAGCACAATCTGAAGTGCTGCAAAGGCACCTGTTTATTCACCACATGGCCAGGACAATCAATCTACTCCATGAAACCTGTTTCCTCAGCTGTGAAATGGGCATAGGCATACCTACATCATCAATTTGTAACAATTAAAGATGATTACTATAAAATACCTCTTAATAACAGTGAAAATTTATTGAGGACCACTATGTGCCTGACACTATCCTGAGGGTTTTACATCATCTCATTTGACCCAATGAACACCTTCCAATAGTACCAAGGCAAGTACTCTTATTGTCTCCAGTTTGGACAAGGAAGTTAGGTAACTTGCCAAGGTCACACAGAGGCTTAAACTCCAGAGCCCCTAGATCACACCACTATACTGTTTTGTCTCTTAACACTGTATCTTGTACATCCTGGATGTTTAGTAAATGCCTGTTCTTTTTTTTTTAAAGCTTTGCCTAAAACTATTACTCACCTTTATTTCCTACCAGAGTCAAATCCAACTGTTTTACCAGCTTCTCTGTTCCTTGCCCATGTAGAGTTTGAATGCCTCTTTCTGTGCTTTCCTTAATTATTTTGCATCTTTGTTTTTTACATCTAATATTTTTGAATCTTTCTTGTCATCTTTGAATCATACAGACCATTTATATAGACACTCTACCCTGCTTACCTCCATCTCACTCTACAGCTGTGTTTAAACTTCCTCCACTTAGGAAATGGGAGAAGGGGAAGGTGTAGGAGCCCTGGAGTTGGGAGACCAAGGTCAGATTCATGGCTTATTCTTGGGTGACTCTTGGACAAGTTATTTACTTTGAGTCTTACTTTTCTCATCTATAAAATGAGAATAAAGATATTGCTAGGGTTGCCTGAGGAACATATGATTTGATGTATATTAGGTGTAGGCTATATAGTAGTTGCTCAGTTAAAAACTTGCTTGCCTTTTCTCTATTCTTCCTCAAGGGAAACACAGACATGTAAAACAATATTGAACATATGGAGTCAGAATGATGCCAGATTTTGCTTATCTTTCTCTTTCTTTTTCATCTCCAAACCTCTGCTTTGGAATGCCTCCAGTCTCTGGCATGACATCCCTCCTCTCCTTTTTTCCACCTTAGTGTGTGTGTTTGTGTGGGAGGTGGTGGTACGTACATGTGTTTGTGCACAAACAGATATGATCATCTTTCCCATGCCAAAGCAATTAGCACATCTAGATCTTAGGTCAAGGTCATTTAAGAAAAACAAATTTTGGTATCAATTGGGAAATAACTTGAATGCAATAACAAGCCAAATAGTAACTGTGTAGTAAGAAACAGGACTCCAAATTACTAAGAGAAACAAGTTTAATGTTAAAGCAAAAACTTGCATATGGGTCTTTAGCAAACACAAAGGCTTGCACAGACCCCATGGAACTGCATGGAACATTCAAAACTGTGCTTTCTCTTTAGCTGCTGCAGATGGCTGCCTCTAGAACTGATGGATATCAAAACTGTTTGACTTTTCCTCTGAGCCTAAGTCTTCATTTATGTACCAATGATCTCATTTCCAGACCCTCTTGTCACTGGAGCTCATCTGTGTTCTTTCCCTCTTTAAAAAAACACCCCACAGGAAATATCTCTTATGAGATATCAACATCTCCAAATCATTTCAGCACTTTACTTATAACTTCACTAAGAGGATTTGCATCTCAGGCCCTCCTCATCTTTCATTAGAAAGAAAGCTTGCATTTGCTTAATTAATGTTGAATTATAACACAGTTTCATGGTCAATATTCTGTAGAAACGTGTGAGCATTTTCTGTGTGTACCTTAGCAGGCAAAAAACTTGTGAAAACTGAGTTAGAGGCTGGGACAGGCACATGTAAATTTTGTTTGTTGGGGAGGGCATGGAAGAGGAAAAAATGGAGTTAAGTCATACAACTGTAAAATAATTCATGTGTGATGCCAGTCTTTAGGGGGCTTGGACTTGAAAGGACAGAATCAGAGAAAGAAGGTCCTTTGAGACTGTATGACTTTTTTCTCTTTGAGTAGGCTTTCTGAGTATTGTTAGATTTATTTCATGTAGAATATGTGTTTTCAGGCCTCATGATTCATTATAAATCATTTGGGCCTGTTTTAAATCTTTGAGGATAAAAACCCTGTACCTCTGTGGTATGCCCATCAAATGTAAGTCTACACAGCAATAACAAGGATTAACAATATACTCTGCAACATGAATGACTCTCAAAGTTGTTATGCTGGAAGGAAGAATAATAGGATTCTGTTTGTATGAAATCCAAACATAGAAAATGCAATATAGTATAGAATGACAGACCACTGGTTTCCCTGGATGAGGGGAAAGAAAAGGTGAGAGATATGGCTATATCTGAAAGTTCATGAGCCATTTATTGTACGCCTATCAACCTCAATGAAGCTGTGAAAAAAATAACAAGGTAAAACAGAGGACAAATTCTTCTTTTCCAATCAGATGAAGGGATTTTCCAGGTGAGCAGGTGACCAGGTCTTCTATTTAAGGAACTGAAATATAATCAGAAATACAAAGATACAGAGAAAACCATGTTAGCCAAAGCTCTTCTCCAGGAAGCTGATCTAGGTAGAAATAAGATGCCCAAGAGGCATGCTCAGACAACAAAAGGTCTTCAAAATGAATGGGTGTGGTTGGCTAGAGGGTTTCCACTTTTCTGAAAAAGATATGCATACTGTGATGATTCCTGGGGCCACTAGGGAGTTTCTTCAGATGGTAGAGGACAGGGTGCCTGCCTTGCCAGAGCTTTTTGTTCTCTGAACTTTTTCTAGGAACATGTTCCCCAAACACTGAGAGCAAATATTTAAAGAACACTGGATGAAAAGTATGCCACATTAATGGTCAGCCCAGCTCCAATCTCAGTTCCAGTGTTGAAAAATGTAGAGTATGCCATCCTTGTTAGGGCAGATCTCTCTTTGAACCCTGAACAAAGATGGTCAGTCATATTTGTGAAAGAAATGGTGCTTTGAAATGTTCTTACAGAAAAAGGATGCATAATATTGGAAAATTGCAATACACAAGGTTGGGACGAAAGGAACACAGACTTGGACTGAGAAATCTGGGAAATCCCCTTACCAGGACCTTAGACAGCCTATCAGAGAGCATAAGAGGGAAGAAGTAGAAACAAAGAAGCTGACCTACCAGGAACAGAGCCACTGCAGTGCCCAGGATGAAGCCAGCGATCACATCTGAGCAGTGGTTCCGGTACTCTGAGACCCTGTTGAGGCCCGTCAGGAAGGCTGTGCAGAGGGTCCCCAGGCACAGCACCGGCTTGGCCAGTCGACTGCTCTTGGTCTTGATTGTGCTTGTGATGTACATCTTGAGTGGGAGAGAAACCGGGGAGTGACCGAGAGCCCTTTCATGTTGGTGCATACACGTGCGTGCATGTACACACATCAGCACATGAGCAGAGGCTGTGCCAAAGCAACCACGCCAACTACTTTTCTCAGTAGAGTGAACAACTCCACTGAGCTACTTAGTAGAAAGTAGGAAACTACTTTCATTGTCAGCAATGACACTGAACAGGTGTATCTTAATCAGTCTTCTGTATTCTAGTGGGCACAGGAACAGAATATATATTGACATAAAGAATGTCTGCAGAGTAATGATTGGATCAGAACATGCAGGTTTTAGGCAACACATTAGAGAGTCATTTTGGGGATACCAGGAAGCCCAGATAAGAACCTTAAATACAAAACAAATCTCTGAGAGTAAATTTTATGGTGGAGGAGACCAAGTAGGTGAGTAAGTATACATTTTACTTTTTGTGTCTCCCTCCCCCCTCCATCCTAGCTGCTTCTGCACACATTCAGGCAATAATACAAAAATATTCACTGATGGGCTGAATTACAATTGTTCGCCCACTGTCACACAAACAGATTATAGTTGTGGGTGGAGGCTGATTCCTCATTATCTGTGTTCCATCCAATCATTTACTCCAAAGTATTTTAAAATATTAAACTTTTCTGTGTGTGCCACAAAATATAAAATTGTGCAATTTATGACACTTGAGATGTGGGCTTCTATTATTTCATTGTGAGACTCTTCAGTCTCACAGTCTGTTATCAAATCTGTCCCTGATGATCTAGATTTGGGAATATGTGCTTCTTGCATGTGAGTAGTTAGAACACTGTTGGCCGTGATTACAAAACACCACTAGAGGGTATCATTGATCTACCATTTCTTAACAAATGTGCTACGTTTAGTAAACCTAAAAACCAAAAATGCTGATACTTCAATTTTTACACTCTATGGCCTGAGCATATAAATGTTCAAATAGATTCACCTTACAATATTATGGTGGAAACTTAATTTCGTAGGAAGGTTCTTCAATACTGGTATAATACTGTGATATGGGGGGAGGAGTCTCTATTCTATGTAACAGATACCCTACAAAACGGTGGTTCGACAAAGTTACATACTGCATTATATTACTACAGTATTCTGATACTATGTGAGAAATGTTACTTAACATTTTTACTATATGTTTAGTGCTTTATGCTCCTATATTGTTTTCTAATTATGGCCTTAATGTATCTTTCCTATAAGAATATAAACCATTCAGAACATGGGTCTATGGTTAACATCCTTAATGAGTACCTAGGAAATTGTTGAGTATTTATTTTCTATTTTTATTTGACACATAGTAATCATACATATTGATGGAACACAATATGATGTTTCTTTTTTTTTTTCATTTTTCTTTTATTATTCATATGTGCATACAAGGCTTGGTTCATTTCTCCCCCCTGCCCCCACCCCCTCCCTTACCACCCACTCCACCCCCTCCCGCTCCCCCCCCCTCAATACCCAGCAGAAACTATTTTGCCCTTATCTCTAATTTTGTTGTAGAGAGAGTATAAGCAATAATAGGAAGGAACAAGGGGTTTTGCTGGTTGAGATAAGGATAGCTATACAGGGCATTGACTCACATTGATTTCCTGTGCGTGGGTGTTACCTTCTAGGTAAATTCTTTTTGATCTAACCTTTTCTCTAGTTCCTGGTCCCCTTTTCCTATTGGCCTCAGTTGCTTTAAGGTATCTGCTTTAGTTTCTCTGCATTAAGGGCAACAAATGCTAGCTAGTTTTTTAGGTGTCTTACCTATCCTCACCCCTCCCTTGTGTGCTCTCGCTTTTATCATGTGCTCAAAGTCCAATCCCATTGTTGTGTTTGCCCTTGATGTAATGTCCGCACATGAGGGAGAACATACGATTTTTGGTCTTTTTGATCATATTGATGGAACACAATATGATGTTTCAATACACGTACATGCTGTGCAATGATCAAATCCTGATAATTAGCATATCCACCACTCGAGTAATTTCTGAAAGTACTTAGCACATAACGGAGGCTCAGAAAATGTTTGTGCAATTGGAATCTTGTATCAGGGTTTATTTGATTAGAGTCTGTTAGATATGATTTAAATTGGATTATATCTGAATCCTTGAAAACTTGCTTTTGTGACATCCATTCTATATGCAGACTGTATTTGCATCTTTCTTCCACAAAGAAATTTAAGTTTCATTCGATAATGAGACTGGTTTAGCTAATAGATTTACTTTTATAATGGCATTATCAAACTAATTTCACACAGCAGTGACTTGAATCTGATAAAAATACAAGAAAATGCACAAGAATACACTGCTTTTTACAAATTAGGTTCTAGATAATTTAGGATAAATTGATAATCTGAAAATTAGAAAATATATTGAATACCTCAGAGGGATTCTTTGCTTATAAAATATCTGGCATAGAAGTTTTTTTCTCTGTAAAGATGCCGATCCAAACAATAATTGATTTGTTTTGTAAACAGATGCTTCTATATTATTTATGTTCATGTTTTCTTAATATTGGAACAGCTGAAATAATTTTAGCATGTATTTGTGAAAGAATAGGTCTAAAAGGAATAACTAGGAGACTTACATTGGATAGTTGTTGGTTAGCAAATTAATCTTGTAGTTAAGATGCTCTAAAGGAGACACAGGCACTACCTGCTCCAGGTTGTGTGAAAGAGAATATTCACCCATTATTTTAAATACTGCTTTATAGACTAAACCTATAGTCTTCACCTTTGTTCCACACTGGGGGTAATGTAAGAGCCCAGTTTCCTCAGAGGTGGAATGTGCATCCTGCAGCTACTCAGTGGGGGATGGGGGTCTACTCCCCTGGGGAAGCAGGGCAAGGGCACCCCAGAACATTTGGGAAGAATAGGTTATTGAAAGGGGTCTTTCTTTTGCCTTCTCCTTTCACTGAAATCTGTAGAGTAGTCATTTCCTGAATATAGGACAAATTGAAGTAAGGAAAAGGGGTGTTTCCAGCCAATAGCTGTTTATACTGGTAAATGCAGTGACCTTATGATATCAGCAGATGTACCTTTGAGCTGATTCCAGTGCTTCTGAATTCAAAGGATGTAGAGTGAAATATGGCCATTATCAAGATGCACACAATTAAAAGCAGGAAAATAAAAAGACATCATTGTTTTTACTCCGATGAGAACAAATACTTCATAGAGAACCTTGTGGTCCAGTAGGGTGGTCACAGGTGGGTGTGATATGGGCAGCAGTAAGGCATGAACTTTGGGTTGTTGAAATTCTAGGATAACCTATCTCTTCTAGCAAAGTGATCAAGTTTGTCAGAAGAAGAAGAAGAAGAAAAAAGCTGCGTATTTGTCCTGATCTGTACTCTACAGGGACAACTATTCACATAAGGCCATACTTGCAGATTTGGAGGCAGGCGTAAGAGCTGCTCTGGAACCAACTGAAACTTTGGCAAAGAATGGTGTTATGGGGAAAAGAATCCCAGTCCTGGTGTCAGCAGCCTGGGTCTCAGCTCTGAATCTGAGTTCTTAGTTGTTCTCTAGGCCCTGGTTTCTGTATCTGTAAGATGGGAAAATATCGCTAGGGAAATATCAAAATTTCTCTCCAGAACTAATATATTCAGGAAGGTAAAGATAGTACATTGGGATGTTGTAAATGTAGGGGAGCCTATTATATCAATGGCATCGTATGAGATAGGAGAAGCATGTTGTTGATAACTTTAAAAATCACTCTAAGTGACAGGAATAAAAGAATGGTAATGGGAATAGAGAGACACATTCCAGCAAATCTCAACTTGTGGGGTGGGGAGCGGGAGAATAGGTTGCACACTCACCGTGGCGTATAAGGCGGAGTAAATGCTCAAAGCAGCATGTTTGGAGGGAAAGGATCTTCGAGCCTTTTCTATCACTTCCAGGTCCCCAGTACAAATGTCCCCATTGCTTATGAACTGGTGATGTGCCCGGCAGTCTGAACTGGTGTAGTTCGGCTTGCACACTGTCAGGAAGTACGGTGTTAGGTGCCCAGTGACCACTTGTCCAGCGTTTACAAAAATGTCAGTAGCAAAAAGTCCAAATGCAAATACCCCTATAAGGAAATTTAAAAGAATTAAGAGTGGTCACATACACTGTTGACTCCTTTTGCCCTTGGGAGGAAAGAGCAGTGAGAGTCCTTGATGACTTATTGTAAAGATCTAAGAACAACCCAGAGTCAAATTGTGCCCTCACCTTTATCTTTCTGGGGAGGGGAGCCTACTTTCCAAACCACCATTTCTTTTAAACCAAAGTGGACAATTTTCTGTAAGCATTTTATTGTTTTGTGTAAGTAATTTAAAAGCAGCACAGTCCAATGGGAAGAATTTGAATTTTGGAACCCCCAAAACCTAGGCTTTAGTCTCATCTTTGGGGACCCATTCACAGTATAAATAGCTTATCTTCTTAGAACCTTGGTTGAAAAATGTAGGGGGGTAGTTTGAGAAGATTAAATAAGATATGTATGAAATACCCTGTATGGTGTTTGGTTTTTAATAATTAGTCAACATAGGTTTTCTTTCTATAGAAAGTATATTCTTCCTGATCTTATTTGGAAATGCAAATATTCCTAAGAGGAGTTATCAATGACATCATGGCAGATTAGAGTGAATAAGGTTTTTAGAGAGTTGAGCCTAAAGAAGAGGAAAAAAAAGACTATTTCAAAGACTTGATTGAATTGTAATCTGTTTCATGCTAGAGACAGAAAATGAGAAAGTAGGGAAAGTATTAAAGACAAATGTTGTTAATGGTATTAGCTTCTTGTAGCTGCTATAACAAATTCCCACAAACTGAATAGCTTAAAATAAGTCAAATACTCTTTCATCCAGTTATGGAATTAAGAAGTCCAAAGTAGGTTTTCACCAGGCTAAACTCAAGGTGTTGGCAGGCTATGCTCCTTCTGGAAACTCCAGGTTAGAACTCATTTCTTGCCTCTTCCAGCTTTAGGAAGCTTCCCCACTTCCCCCATTTTATGGCCCCCTTCCCACATTTACATCATTCTAACGTGTGCTTCCATTGTCACATCTTCTTTGACTCTAACCTCCCAGACTATCACTTGCACACACTCTTGTAACTTTATTTTGTCCATCTGGATAATTTAGGATAATCTCCCAATCTCAAGATTTTTATTATAATCACACCTGAGATTTCTCTTTTGTCATATAAGGTAACATATTCGCATCTTCTGGGGAGGAGCCACTTTTTGGTGGGGAGAGCCATTATTCTGATTTTGCTGTTTGGCTGAGAACTCTGTTGGGTAGGCTGTACTTCTAGATTTTTTTCTGTTCTCTGGTAAAATCCACAGGATTAGCTCCAAAAATTCTGTAGGTAAACAATTATTTACTTTAAATTATTTTTATCTGATACATGAAGGCATAAAATTGTTCATATTTATAGGATACCATGTGACATTTAACACTTGTATATTGTGTATAATGTTTAAATCAGGTTTCACTCATATATTTACTCAAATATTTTTCATTTATTTGTGGTAAAAACTCCTTTCTCTTAGCTTTTGAAGTATATAGCACATTATTGTTACTTGTAGTCTCCCTACTATGCAATAACACACCACATCTTTTTTTTTTAATTTTTATTTTTTTATTATTCATATGTGCATACAATGCTTGGGTCATTTCTCCCCCCCTGCCCCCACCCCCTCCCTTACCACCCACTCCACCCCCTCCCTCTCTCCCCCTCCCTCCCCCTCGATACCTGTGGCAGAAACTATTTTGCCCTTATCTCTAATTTTGTTGAAGAGAGAGTGTAAGCAATAATAGGAAGGAACAAGGGTTTTTGCTGGTTGAGATATGGATAGCTATACAGGGAGTAGACTCACATTAATTTCCTGTGCATGTGTATTGCCTACTAGGTTAATTCTTTTTGATCTAACCTTTTCTCTAGTTCCTGGTCCCCTTTTCCTATTGGCCTCAGTTGCTTTTAAGGTATCTGCTTTAGTTTCTCTGCATTAAGGGCAACAAATGCTAGCTAGTTTTTTAGGTGTCTTACCTATCCTCACCCCTCCCTTGTGTGCTCTCGCTTTTATCATGTGCTCAAAGTCCAATCCCATTGTTGTGTTTGCCCTTGCTCTAATGTCCACATATGAGGGAGAACATACGATTTTTGGTCTTTTGGGCCAGGCTAACCTCACTCAGAATGATGTTCTCCAATTCCATCCATTTACCAAGGAATGATAACATTTCATTCTTCTTCATGACTGCATAAAATTCCATTGTGTATAGATACTACATTTTCTTGATCCATTTGTCAGTGGTGGGGCATCTTGGCTGTTTCCATAACTTGGCTATTGTGAATAGTGCCGCAATAAACATGGGTGTGCAGGTGCCTCTGGAGTAACCTGTGTCACAGTCTTTTGGATATATCCCCAAGAATGGTATTGCTGGATCAAATGGTAGATCAATGTTTAGCTTTTTAAGTAGCCTCCAAATTTTTTTCCAGAGTGGTTGTACTAGTTTACATTCCCACCAACAGTGTAAGAGGGTTCCTTTTTCCCTGCATCCTCGCCAACACCTGTTGTTGGTGGTGTTGCTAATGATGGCTATTCTATCAGGGGTGAGGTGGAATCTTAGTGTGGTTTTAATTTGCATTTCCTTTATTGCTAGAAATGGTGAGCATTTTTTCATGTGTTTTTTGGGCATTTGAATTTCTTCTTTTGAGAAAGTTCTGTTTAGTTCACTTGCCCATTTCTTCATTGGCTCATTAGTTTTGGGAGAATTTAGTTTTTTAAGTTCCCTATATATTCTGGTTATCAGTCCTTTGTCTGATGTATAGCTGGCAAATATTTTCTCCCACTCTGTGGGTGTTCTCTTCAGTTTAGAGACCATTTCTCTGATGAACAGAAGCTTTTTAGTTTTATGAGTCCCATTTATCTATGCTATCTCTTAGTTGCTGTGCTGCTGGGGTTTCATTGAGAAAGTTCTTATCTGTCCCTACTAACTCCAGAGTATTTCCTACTCTTTCTTGTATCAACTTTAGAGTTTGGGGTCTGATATTAATATCCTTGATCCATTTTGAGTTAATATTGTTATAGGGTGATAAACATGGATCTAGTTTCAGTTTTTTGCAGACTGTTAACCAGTTTTCCCAGCAGTTTTTGTTGAAGAGGCTGCTTTTTCTCCATCATATATTTTTAGCACCTTTGTCAAAGACAAGTTGGTTATAGTTGTGTGCCTTCATATCTGGGTCCTCTATTCTGTTCCACTGGTCTTCATGTCTGTTTTTGTGCCAGTACCATGCTGTTTTTATTGTTATTGCTTTGTAATATAGTTTGAAGTCAGATATCATGATACCTCCAGCATTGTTCTTTTGATTGAGTATTGCCTTGGCTATTTGTGGCCTTTTAGCACAACACATCTTACTCATATCTAACTATAATTTAGTACCCCTCCATCTCTCCCTCCTTGCTACTTGCTCCATTCTCTGGTAATCACCATTCTAGTCTCAATTTCTATGATATCAACTTTTTGGATTCCACATAGAAGTGAGATCATGAGGTACTTGTCTTTCTGTGACTGACATATTTTACTTCACATAATGATCTTTGATTTCATCCATGTTGTCAAAAATGACTGCATTTAATTCCTTTTGATGGCTGAATGGTATTCTGTGGTGTACAGGTACCACATTTTCTTTATCCTTTCATCAGTTGATGGACACTTAGGTGGTTTTCATTTCTTGGCTATTGGGAATAGTAGTACAATAAGCATGGGAATGCAGAGGTCTCCCTGCCATACTGATTTAGTTTCCCTTGGCTATATATTCCAAAGTGGGTGATATGGTAATTCTGTATTTAATTTTTTGAGGTGCATCCATAGTGTTTTCCATGATGGTTGTAGTAATTTACATTCCCACTAGCAAATGTACAAAGTTTCTGTTTCCCCACACCCTGACCAGTGCTTGTTATCTTTTGTCTTTCTAATAGTATTCTTACTAGGGTAAGGTGATATCTTATTGTGGTTCTGATTGGTTTTTCCTGGGGATTAGTGATGTTCAGCACCTTTGTTTTTATGATTTGTTTTGTTTTAAAGAAAGCATACTGCATGTGCAGCACTTCATTTGGATATGTCTGGAATGTCAGAAGCTTCACTACCCTATGTTCTCCTACAAATGGACTTCGAGAGCTTATATGGAGGTTTTATTAATGGACCAGTTACTTGTATACCCTTGACTGAAGAATGGTCCTTCGATCAAGTGCTCAGCTTTGGGAGGGATACAGATAGGGAAGGGGACATCACCTTGCCAGCCAGATTGATGGAATCAACTTTAAGGTCAATGGGGTGACAGATGTCACCACCAGATCACCCTCACATCTGATGAGCATCCTTTAATATATTTGCAGATCATTTGTATGTCTAAGAGAATTCTTTCTAAAAAGATGCTGTGAATTATCTCAAAACCTGTTCATTACATTACTAAATATATTATCGGTTAAATGTATCAAGAGAGGCTATATAGAGCTAAAATCCCACATGTCACTCAAGAAATGAAGACAACTTTTCAAACACAACTGAAGAAATTGTCAAGGGTGAGAGCCAGCATTAACCCTTGTAAATGTCAAGGGTATGCTACAGTTTCAATTAAATTTCTACCTGGTTTTGACTCCCATATTCAATGTCCCAAATCTGTGAATTGTACTGATTTCAACACCCGTCAGTTAATCTACTATAACAGAAGTTAGGACAAATTTAGCTGAAATCTTCATCTGGTTTCATTTTGATCTGTATTGATTGCTATAATTTTCCTTCATAGGAAAATTAAAGCTTTGCCAGAGCATGCTTTATCACAATGAGAACCGGCTCTTTTAATAGCTTCAGCTGGCTCACACTTACAGGCTCTGACCTCTGAGAACAGGCGTCCATTGATCATGTATGACAGTTTTCACCCCCAGGTTCTGGAAGTCTGAATGGCTAGAATATTTTTTTTTTTACATCTTCAAGCAACATTCTCAAAGACCAGGTCTCTGATTTTTTTTTTCCAAGGGGCCATAAGTCTGTCTAGACATACTTTTCCAGGAAACTATACAGTAATTTATGATTT